AAATTCATCTTTGTTCTTCCAGGTCCCACTTCTCCTTGTCAATGAAGACCCACTCATCTTTTGGCCTCATCTTTTATGTATCTGATGCCCAAGAGGACAATTTCATGGCACTCTTTCTGGCCCATGGGAAACTTGTGTACACTTTTAGTGTAGGAGACCAAAAAGTTAAAATCAAAAGTGAAGACAAATACAATGATGGTGCCTGGCACAGTGTAAGTTCATGAATTTGTTCCATAACTGAATTTTATATTTATGCCAGCATGAGTGTTTGTTTATGTAAGAGACAACCTTTTCTCATCCCAAAGGTTATTTTTATCCGTGATGGGAATGTGGGGCGGTTAATAGTTGATGGGCTCACAATGCTGGAAGACAGCGTTCAGGGAAACAACGTCTCCTGGCACATCAGCAGCCCCCTCTATGTCGGAGGAGTTCCTGCAGGGAGAGCCCAGAAGAATATTCAGGTACAAGTCAAAATCTGCCATGTGAAAAACATTAAACAGCAGAAAAAAATGGGACAACTGGAATCTTATAAAGGATTTTATTTATAGCCCTATGTTTGTCCGGAAAATGTGTGGACATCCAGCCCTGTCTGTTCCCACAGACAAGAGGAAACCACTATTGTGACCCTAAGAAAGAAGGTTTCCTCTCAGTTTTGAGTATTGGAGCTGATATAGTGGAGCCCTTCTCCTTCCTATTAATCCCACTGTTCAAAAATTGGCTGCTTTTCAGATGTGGGCGGAGCACAAGGCACTCAGAGATCGTTCCTGATGAATAAGAATGACTTTAGCTAACAGTTTAAAATAATAATTGCTGCATTCTTCTGATGTACTAGCTCCATTTCACTGTAAGCTGATAAAATGTAAAAGTGTGAGATGATAATTCTCTGTGGGGTGTGACCCTAAAAGCAATGTCTTGTACATTACATGCACTGGGGGCCAGGATAGCTCGGTAGGTAGAGTGGTGGCCCCATGATCAGAAGGTTGGGGGTTCGATTCCCCTGAACAGCTACCCTGAGGTACCCCTGAGCAAGGCATCGTCCCTACACACTGCTCCCTGGGCGCCCAATGACTGCCCACTGCTTCTCTGAGTGAATGGGTTAAATGCAGAGAGGAGTTTCCCCACGGAGATCAATAAAATGCATTTTCTTCTTTCTTGCATAAAGTCACCAAATGACTCAGTCTTACTATGAAAACATTGCTTAATGCAGCCTTAAAGACAGCTTATATGACAACTACTATGGTCAAATGTGGGGATTACTGTTGAATGCTGAAATTACATAAGATAAGCTTATAAGGGAAGAGTCATAAAGAGTCATAAAGTTATCAAACAGATCACTAAGATTTCACAGCTACATTCACTTAAACTTTGCTTAGCATTAGCCGTCATTAGCCATACAGAGCCACTAGTCATACCAGACCAAATAGGGCTATAGCTGCAGGGTCCTCAAATATACTGTAGTGATCAGGAGTTTGTTGTGTTGCTTGTAAGTAGAGCTCTACTCTACCATTATAGGTTGTCTACTGAAAGGTCAGTGGCTCGGTCCCCAGCTCCTCCACCCTACATGTTGAAGTATTCCTGAGCAAGACAGAAGAAACTGAACCCAATGCATTCATTGGGGTGTGAAAGTGTGCATGAATGTTAGACAGAGCACTTAGAGTAAAAGTACTGTGTTGATGTGTATGTGACTGAGGCTTGTAGTAGAAAGCACTTTCAGTACTTAGTACATTAGAGTAAAAATCAGTATATGAGAACTACTGTGGATAAGTGAATGTGTTATTTAGTAGTTCTTTAAAATATTCTGTGATGCCTTTTTAGGTTTGTTTCTGTGTGGATTATCGTAATTAATCATTCTTTTTGTTATCTTTCATCTTCAGAGAAACTCTGCATACAGCTTTACTGGCTGTATAAAGAACCTTCAGCTTGATAGAAAGCAGCTCTCCTCTGTGGCAGACACATTTGGGGTCACTCCATGCTTTGATGGAGTCTCTGAGGGAGGAACATACTTCTCAGAAGAAGGAGGATACATTGTCCTGGGTGTGTTTCTAGCAATTTAATATCTGTGTTATTTTTCTGTAACCTAGAAATATGTTGTATGCAGAGTTTTGTGCAATCTTTCTCACAGTGAGTAACACCACATATATTTTTCCACTATCTGCAACTGTTTGCAAACTGAGCATCTGTTAACTTACACAGTTCATTAGCCTCACAAGGCCCACAGTCTCTTTCGTGTTCATGAGGAGAGTGTGGCTGGCTGAGGGAACTCGATAGCCTAAGTGCAGCTGTGGTAAAAATGTGTGAGTGTTAAAGAAGCACGAAAGAGGAAAAGGCAAAGCTGAAAGCCCTAAGAAACTCAGGACTCAAATGCTTTCACACTCGCACCCACCTCAGAATAACTAATGAACGTAGCTAAAGGGTTGAGGGGCCATAATAAATAAGAATAACTCAGACCTCACGTCATCTTCCTCCTAATTCAGACGATTCTTTCAACCTGGGACCGAGGTTTGAGCTGGTGATGGAGGTGCGCCCTCGTGTGGCATCAGGGGTGCTACTACATGTGCACTCAGCAGATGACTTTTTCACTGTGTACATTCATCAAGGAGCGGTACGTTTTTACACAAAATACACACATTCGTGTTGGTTCAAATGAAGTTTTTTCATTCAAAAGAACTGCCGTCTTCTAGACAGATTATAGCATTAGTGTTTTTGCAGGTGGTGGTTCTTGTAAATGATGGGACTCGTGAGTTCTTCACAAAGGTGTCACCAAAACAGGGAGTGTGTTCGGGGAGTTGGCACAAAATTACCGGTAAGAATTCCTTTGTGATCACACTGTGGGTTTATTATTCAGAATTGATGTGTTCTGTGGCAGCACTGTTAATGTCACACTAACATCACTCTCTGAAAAATAATCTGACATTGTATATTGTATGTGCAATGTTACGTCTTCCACGTCTGAAAAAGGAATAAACACACAAATGCCTTAATCCAGCATTCTATTTAAAGACCACCAGGGGGCGAGGCCTGTGGTTTCAAAAAGACTGACTGAAAATAGCTTTCTGTGTCAAGGAATGAGTTAATGGGCTCAGTCACTCTTTTTGTGTCCATCCATCCATTCGCTTCCACTTATCCTTTTCAGGGTTGTGGGGGGTGAGAGGCAAAACCGCCTTTTTGTGTCATAATGAAAAAAAAATGTTTTTTTATTTTTTTTATTTTTTTACAGTAGCTAGTCAAGTTTAATGTTTAATGAAAGTGTTCTGTAATGTTTGGTTTCAGTGATACGGGATGCCAACGTTGTCCAGCTGGATGTGGATTCTGAGATCAACCATGTGGTGGGACCTCTGAGCCCCAGCTCCACAGATAGCAGAAAGCCTGTATTTATTGGTGGCACTCCAGGTGAGCTGGTGACAATTGCTCCTCCTGATTTTGTCCTGTCGGTATAAAGCTGTTAATAATGCCTTCTACCTCCTCTCAGATGGTTTCCTTCCAGAAAGTGCTGCTACCAGGAAGGCCTTTGTGGGCTGCATGAGAAACCTGACAATCAACAACAGCCAAGTAAACTTCAGCAAAGCGGTCCTGGTCAGCGGAGCTGTCAGTGTTGGAACCTGTCCAGCAACATAAGATTTCTGTGATCTCTAGCTCAGCAAAGCAATGACCAAATGCATGGTAGAAACCCCATATCATCAGTCTTTTTCCTTTCTGACACGTTTGTATGCTTTTTGTGTAGAAGTTGTCGGTTTTTGTTTTTCACTCCCACCAAGAGTATGACCAAAACGTCCATTCAATCAAAGCAAACACCCGTTATAAATAAACAAATCAGATTGATTCCTCCAGTCCACAGTGTGAAGCACACAGGCACACTAACATTACTGTGTTACTGTATGTTCCTTTACTCCACTTCATAATCTTGATGGCAAATGTTTTTTGTATAAGTTCATTTTCAAAGCTTTCCTTTTGTACTGTTTTATTTCTGATAATAAATAACATTTTACCTCCACTGAAACTTTTTTACATGTGTGTTCTCCTATAGTGCACTTGTTCATTTCACCAAAATCAGCTGAGACTGACTTAACAACCTGGTATATGCATGCAATAATGCACAGATATACTCAGTAAATTAAAAATGGTCAGAACACAGGAGTGTTTTCTTTTGGTTTTTCCCACAGTCCAGTGACATCCAAAGTGTCCGCCCAATGACTCAGATGAAAATTAAACAACTGTCACAATCTTGTTAAAGGTAGTTAACTTGTTTGCAGTCAGTTTAATCAGCCACTAGATGGCGACACACACACATACACAACAATCCAAGCGGATCAGCAGTCTAATGGCTGTTTAGTTAGCAGTTGGATGGTGTACCTATCAAAGCGGCCAATAAGTATATGTCCTATGTGGGCGTGGAAATTAGAGCATGCTCGTGATGTAAGATGAAAAGTCATAATAAGTGTTCAGTAACTGTTTTTTGTTTGTTTTTTTCTTTAAAAATGTTTTTATTATGTTTTTACTCAGAAGCACATCATTTTCAGGGGGTAAAATATTTCACGACAGTTAAGACAGAAGGTGAAATAACTGCGAAACCTAATCACAGACAAGCAATAAATACCAAGGCAAAACACTGGAAAACTGGTTGAAAACTCTTCGTTTTCTAATTGTTTTAATTTTGGAAAAACATCCTACCTACCTTAATTTGGCACCCACGCTGAGACACAAAATTCAACCATAATGTAACATCACTGACAAAATATAGTTTACAGTCTTAAATGCTTTTATTCTGCTTTTAAAAACCAGTATCTCATACCATCCTTTATTTTAACTTTATTAATGGGAGTTAAACTACAGAAGAGATTTTAATCATTTAATGTGTGGTTTCTACAAAACTGCTATATTATATTACTACAAACCTCCTGTTTTTTTCTTTTTAAAAATGTCTTTATTGTTTGTTTTTGTTCGTCACACACACTTTTTGGGGGGCTGGGGGGGGTCAGTGGCTGAAACGTACATTCCGTTTCCATGGAAATGACGTCATCAATGCTCGACCAAACATAGCTAAGGCGCGAGGAAGAAGAGGTGTTCAAAAGTCTTGTGAAGATCTTATTGATGGATAACATAAACGGAACAGTCATTATGGATTAGCTTCGCACTTTTACAACGTGTATGGGGTGTTGTTGTCATGACACAGTCCGTTGTGGTCCAAGGTGAGTGAAACTCAGCGCGGTAAATGACAGGTAGGAGGCTAGCTTAGCCCCCAGGTCGGTGTTTATGTCAAGTAGTTCCGTTTTATGTGACGTAGCTACATACCTTTAACAAATGAAATCTGTATTACTACTAATTGTGTTTTTTAAGTTAAACTGAAATTCCGTTCTGCAGTTGGACAGTGCGGCAACCAGGCTGGCTGCAGGTTTTGGGATCTTGCTTTGCGAGAGCATGCCCACGTCAATAAAGTAAGTGCAATTACACACACAGCACAGCACAACGAAGGTATCCGACGAATAATAATGAAGTCTGACTTGTTACGACAGGAAAAGCACATGTTTGTCTTTCTAATGTTCTGGTGACCCAGACTATACAACCAAAAATCCGTAGACACAGCATCTCTGGGTGAAACACAGCCGCTTTTAACGTTTTTATAATTACACCTGTGCTTTTGAGCTGGATAAGACAATATGTTACAGAGCTCAGATCATCTCAAGCTGGTTTCTTGAACACGAAAAGGGGGTTACTGTACTCAAATGGCTACCAGAGCCACCATCCCTCAATCCAGTAGAGCACCTTTGGGATCATGTCAAGGCATTGTAGTAAAAGTACAAAATAGCAAAATGTAATTCAAGTACAAGTAACTTTAGTTAGTGTAGGAAAACCTTTAAAGTTGAGCATATTTAATCAACTCAGAGGAGAAACTCATTCAAAAAGCTGGGAGCAACAAACACCTTCAACTGTTAGCATTTCTTAGACTACAGCAAAAGTGTCATTAACCTCTGGCACATGCACCAACAGCAACCAAGGCAGGAAAACTGTCTGCTTTCCTCAGTCTATGATGTTTGTCCATGTGTTAAGGGGGGGCTTGGAGGCTTTCCTTAATTTAATAAGGATTTGAGAGGTTGAAAAGGGCCAAATTGTGATGGCTAGACAACTGGGTGAGGTGTGGGTGCATGTCCATCACCTAGTGGGGGAACACATAACACCAGGATGCACTATGAGAAGGTGAGCTGGTGGAGGCGGTGGGATGCTTTGTGCAATCTTCTGCTTGGGAACCTTGAGTCCTGCCATACATATGGATGTTACTTTAACATGTAGCACCTACCCAAGCATTGTTGCAGACCATGTACACCCTTTCATGGAAACAGTACTCCATGATGGTTGTGGCCTCTGTCAGCAGGATAATGCACCCTGTCACAAAGCAAAACTTCAAGAATGGTTTGAGGAGCACAACAATGACTTTGAGGCATTTTTTACCCCTCCAAATTCTCCAGATATCAATCTAGTCGATCATCTGTTGGATGTGCTGGACAAATAAGTCCAATCCACTGGAGGCCCCACCTCTTACAGGACTTAAAGGATCTGTTGCTAACATCTTGGTGCCGATACCACAGCAAACCTTCAGGGGGCTAGTGGAGTCAATGCCTCGATGGGTAAGGTTTGTTTTGGAAGCAAAAATGGGACTGAGACAATATTAGGCAGGTGGTCATAATGTTATGTCTGACTATTATCAGCAAATGTACATTTCTATTAGCATTATTCTAATTATTTTACACTGTATAAATTGGGACTCACCAGCTGTTAGTAGTGAACAGACCCAAACCAACTGTCTCCTCCCTGTCTCGCCACCATTTTCTGTTATACTTGTCATTGCAGAGTGAAAGATTTTGTGTTTGCTTATCTTTAGTTGGTAACTTATAGGGGTGGGGGGAAAAATCGATACTGTGTAGTATCGTGATATTTTGTTTGCTAATAATGTATCGATACAGGGACAGCAGAAATCGATATTTTGTTACAAAAAAAGTTTGTGGACTGGAACTCTGACTTCAGAGCATGTTGATCAGCTCCTTTTTCTGAGCAAGAATCCTGACATTCCTTCACTGTCCAAATGTGTTTAACTTGTTTTTTGGCAGCAATAAACATGACAGTTTACTTATTTTAATTTAAGACATGTTTTATTTTAATTAAGTTTAAAACTTTTTTATTTAATGTAAAATGTTTTGTTTTAATTTACTTTCAAGTTCTTCAGTTGCTGAATGGGCTGCATAGTTTTCATAAATTGCATAGTTCAGAATAGCTATAGTTGTACCAGATGGTTGCATTCAGTTAAGTTGGACTAGACTGTAATACAAACCGTTCAGTTTGTCAACAATAAAACTGACTGAAATGAGAGAAAGACTGAGTGCGAGACTTTGATATTAGATAAAATGAATATTGATAAAGTTTACCTTTATGTACAGAATCTGAATATCGCAAAATATTTTTAAAAAATTGCAATAATATCGTATCGTGGGATGTATCGTGATTCCCACCTCTAGTAACTTAGTCCACAGTAAATGTTGATTATGTGCTTGAATGTATCTATGTTGAGGAATTATAATGTATAGTGGGGTATTTTGCTTTAATAATCAGTGTGGGTGTTATTTGTTTCTCATCTTGGTGTAAATTTATAATTACCAGACTTTACAGCCACATTGTCATGTCATTTTTAAATTGCATTCCAAACTGACTGTGACAGAAAAACAGCAGATAAGTGTCAAACACTCTTGTATAATACACATTGTAATTTTCTTCTCTGACTTGTGTGGTTGCGTTAAATCAATTCCAGCTCTGTTTGTCTGCTTTGTGCAGTCTGTTTGAGATGATGTGAGAGCTGTCAGTTGACGCCTCAGCAGACACGCCCTAAGTGATTCAGAGAATGCTTCTCTTTTTTTTTTTTAATGATTAGAAAACCTCATTTTTCAGCGCTGTATTTCAGCTGGGTAGTTAATAACTCATTTCTTTAGTGTGACAGAGAGATATTTTCCTCAGCTTTATCCAAGTTGTAATCATTTTGGTTTCCAGTTTAAACGTTAGCTGCCTTCTGTAGTTCAAAAGCTTTAGGGATGTTGGTCTTAAGCACTAGAAACAATTTAATTTAATTTCCAAAAATGAAATCCTGATTTCACATGAATTTTATCATGGTAAAACTGAAAGTGTTCCAGTGATATGTGCAGTAATTCTTAGGGTTTAGGTAAAATGCATCAACTATGTAGAAACTACTGATTCACCAGATACCCAGGCCTAGTCTACTATAATCTTATGTTTAAGTGAATGAAAAATGTAGATGCAGCTGGTATAAACAAAAACAAAGCAAAATCAGGAAGAGTTCAAATACTTGTTCACAGCACTGTAGATTTAAGTGACCAAGAAAAACTTTCAGTAAATTTTTTAACATCTTATCTATGATAATCAGGGAAGTCATTATGTTTTCTCACTAAACCTTTGTTCTAAGGGATGTCTGTTTTCTGTGTGCCCTGTTTTGTCCTGTAAGAAACAGACATGACTCTCACAGCTCCTAAATCTTTTTTTTTTCCTTCATCCTCAGAGGGGATTGTACGATGAAGCCCTCAATAGCTTTTTCCGAAATGTGGATTCCAGGTATGCTAAACCTGCTTTCCTCCAGTAGTTCATTGACATATAAGTGTTCCAAATGTATTGCCTTTTTTTTTTCTTTTTTTTTTCCTTTCTTTTTTTTAAATCACTGACTATCCTTTTCCAGGAAAAGTGACGGGGCTGAATTTGCTGTTGGTGGGAGAATCCAACACCTGAAGGCCAGGGTAAGTTCTAGAAGGACTCTCGAGTCCCTAATTTTTAGTTATTGTGTCAAAACTGGATAAAAATTAAGCAAATAAGAAGTTAGAACTTCAGAAATTTCAGAGTTGGTACTAATAAAAATAGATGTTAGCCTATGCGTGCAAACATTTTAACCTATGAAACATTCACAATAGCAGTGCAGGCATAGTCAAGTGTCTTTTACATGCAAAGCATAAGGCTTTGAATGTTGCTAGTATGGACTGATACTGAAGGTAAATTCTTTGTGAACATCTCTTGGTCAACTGTATCAAATGCAAATTAATTCCATATCTGATTCTCTCAGTCATTGAGTTTGGCTGTAGCTTTTGCTGTGCCAGAGATGCCACGACTTTCTGTTTCCATTAAATAAGCCTTCTACTAGAAATGAGAAAAGGGCTGCCACATCTCAAATTTCACCCTTTGGGGTTAACTTTGGCCCAAAGAAAAATGATAAACGGCTTTAACATGGATAATAATAAGCTTAAGACTGATTGATGATGCGTATTCTTTTCACATTTTATTTTGGAGTCGAGCTTACTGAAAGGTTCAGCATTCATTGGGTGAATTATGAAATGACTGGGGTAAAAGGAATGTGCTCAGTATATGATAGCATTGAAATGTATGAGCGGGCCTCATTTTCACATATTTGAATCCACAGGCGGTCCTGGTGGACATGGAAGAGGGTGTGGTCAACCAGATCCTGCAGGGCCCGTTAAGAGAAGTGTTTGATAGCACGCAACTACTCACAGACGTGTCAGGTTCAGGCAACAACTGGTAAGAGACAGACAAGCCCCAGGATGCCACCGAGCTCACGTGGACTTTACCAACTGTTGCACACCATAATTTAAATCCTGCTGGAGTTGTGTTACAGCTCACGTGCTGTTACACTATATGCAGTTCTAGTGGTATTCAGGGAATAGTCTTTGAAGAGATTGCAAAGAAAGTATTTTTTGGTAATTGTCTGAAAGAATTAAACATGTTTTCTTAATAATCCACTATATGTTGAATTTTGTATAATCTGAAAGAGGAACACGGGTGGCTTAACTGTTGTTTTTTTCAGTTTTCACATTCTCAATTGTGCAGAGTATAATTTAGGAAAAAGATCAGCCTGATGTGAGTAGTTTCTCTGTATGGTTTCCCTGGTCTACCTACCTGAAATTGTAGGTAGACCAGGTCTCCATGCATTATTGTGAAATACAACTATGTACTATCTTTTTATCTAGTGTGTGCTCCAATGTGGGACTTTACAGGACCTCTTACAAATTTTTTTTTCATATGTTAATGAGCCAATAGTCTATATTTTTCAAAAAGTATATATCTCTTGTAAAGTATTTAATATATGACTCTAAGATTTCACAGATTCACAGATTGGAAATGGTCAAGCAGAAGGTCCACAGTGATATCAGATGCTATGGAATGTTATTGGATGTTAACAGGAAGTCTACTTGACACAGAGTTATATTAGCACACGCTTTTAATTTCTTCAAATAATCTTTATCTCCTGTAAATTTTTCTCAGCTGCCGGTGGCTTATTTTCTGTCTGCACAAAAAAGTGCAACTTGTTTACAGTGTAGCATTGCCTGTGAATGAACCACCAATGGATTATGTAGTCAATCCATGACGCCTGTGGTAAATCCTGTACTTGGCATGCCACAACAATTTGAGACTGTCAGTCTGATTCCCACAGTTTGTTGCTTAGAGGCGAGAAAGCCTTTACACTGCACGGCAATCTTTTTATTGGCCCACATAATTATACCCTATGTTTAAAATTCCTTATATTGAGTTTAATATTGTTTTTACCATGAATGACTTTTGCACTAAACTCTTTTATATGTCCTACAACACGTATAACGTAGGGAGAGTTGAACTTTGACTCTTTTATCTTGCATAGTTTGTCATAATGAAAAAAACACAAGAGCAACACGGGATGCTCCAGAACATCCTGACAGCCCCTTCAGTTGCTTTTGTCTGTTACCTTTCCTTTCCATGAACACACTAGCTACTGACAACTTCCTAACACATCATGCATGCTGTGGGAGCAACGGGCAGTCTGTCATGTTGATCACTCAATATAATTGCTTAATCTGACATAGTGATCATCATAAAAGATGAAAGTAATATGAAATCTGTCCTGAGCATTAAAAATTATAATTATCATTAATGTTCAATTTTTGGCATTATCTTATGATTAGGGGGAAAAACCAAGGTATCGTTTTGTGCTTGTCATTCAGGGCAGTTGGAAACATGACGTACGGCTCTGCCTACAGGGAGAAGATAGTGGATAAGCTCAGGAAGGCAGCAGAGCAATGTGACTGTCTGCAGTGCTTCTTTCTCATTCACTCTATGGGAGGAGGTAAGGCTCTGATTCAAGGGCATCCTTTCATTAATGCTTCACAGTCCAGTACTCCAAGCTTTACTTCAATTAATTCATGTTACATTTGTAGTGACAAAAAAAATGAATAAAGCCAATAAGAATACATTTGTGCATGATTTCATTTCACTTACTTAATTTTTGTATCTTTGTTGTCACGCACGTCACTTCTTTACTTTTAGATCTGTGTGAAGGCTGTAAGAGTAGTTAGCTGAAATAAAATAGAAACTAGAACTTAGAGAAAAAACTTATTGAAATAATATATTCAAATATTCATCCATCCATTTTCTTTGTCTTATCTGTGACTGGGTTATGGGGGCAGCAGACAAACCCAGACCTCCCACTCTGCAGCCACGTACTCCAGCTTATTCAGACCAGCCAACAGATATAATCTCTCTAGTGTCTCCTGGGTCTACCCCAGGGGCCTCGTCCACATTTCTAAGCTGGAGGCCATTCCCTGATGAAGCAACATGACCATTTTGCAAAATGCAGAGATCAAATTCTGAGGCCGTTTGCTCAAAACCTAGACCCTCCTGGGGAGGCTGAGGAGTGCAATCCCCCTATAGTTGGAGCACACCTTCTGCTCCCCCTTCTTGAATATGGGAAACACCGCTGCAGACTGCCAGTCCAGTTGAATTACCTCAATCTCCATGCAGAGGTGTGTTAAGTAGACATCCCCGCAACATGATGATTATGACATTCCTGAGCCTTCAGGAATTTTATCAACATCATCTAGTCCAAGGACTCTGCCACCGATAGTTGTTTAACTACCTCAGTGACCTTGTCCCCAGACTTGCCTCCTCCATAGAAGGCATGCCAGTGGGGTTAAGTGGGTCTTTAAAGTATTCCTTCCACTGTCTGACTGTATACTCAGTTGAAGTCCGCAGCACTACACCCGCAGAGTAGAGCACTGCTTTCCTGACGATTTTCCAGAAACACTTGGAGGCAGACCGAAAGTCTTTGTCCAAGGCTTCACTGGACTCCTCCCACAACCTAAGCTTTTGCTTCACCCACCGCCCAAGCTATATTCTGCTTGGCCTGCCAGTACCAATCAGCTGCCTCTGAGATCCCACAGGCTAACCAAACCCGATAGGTCTCCTCCAGCTTGATCGGTCCCTTCATCTTCAGTGTCCACGATCTGACTCAGGGATTACCAGGGATTGCAGCTCTACTGTTATACGTCAAAGTGTTACCTTAATTTTTCAAGCAGTGTAGAAATAAGATTTAAATTGTCATGTCAGTAAATTAAGGATTTTTCTGTAGACAGCTGATAATTAATTAGTTACTGACTATGGATTTAAGGTACTGGCTCTGGCCTGGGAACCAGAGTGCTCAGCTTGCTGGAGGAGGAGTTCCCTGAGGTGTGTCGCGTTGTCACCTCCATCTATCCATCTGGGGAAGATGACGTAATCACCTCACCATACAACAGTGTCCTTGCCATGAACAAGCTCACAGAGCACGCTGATTGTGTCCTGCTAGTGGAAAACCAGGTTTGTGGATTCAGAAATGCCTCCCCTCTCTCCCTGCAAATGTCTGTGCAATGCACATAAATCAAAACTGTCAAACTGAATGTGATTTCTTCTTTTCCCTCATTTCTCCCCTTCCAGTCATTGGTTGACATTGTGAACAAGATTAAAGTTATGTCTCATGGTACAAAGCCTGGTTTAAATATCAAGAGAAACAGCGCAGTCACCTCTGGACAGGGAGGCCTCAGTGGGGCAGAAAAACCCTTTGATGCTATGAATAACATTGTGGCTAACCTGTTGCTCAATATTACCAGGTATAGTATTACTGTTTGCTCATATACAGTAGAAGCCCGTGTGCTAAGGAAAAACATTAACACCCTTTTGACCATTTTTTCTAGTCCATAAGATTGCCATAATAAATGCATTAGTATCCATTCTCTTCATAATAACAGTCAGTAAAGCCAGTTTGGGCTTTCATCTGCAGTCTCCTGTCTGTTTTAATTTTGGCCCTTTGAGTCAGCCAAAGTTAGAGCATAAGACACTAACCAGAGATGTCAAAGCATTTCAGGTGTTTATCGCGTGATGCTATCTTATCATTAAAAGCTTCTGTGAGAGTCCTGCAAGGGCTTGAGAGTCAACCTGGAGATTTGGTACTGTCACACAAGTCAACTTAGGAAGTTATTTATGAATAAAAGTATTTTGATCTTTTGCACAGTGTTATGTATCAAGAAGATATTCTAGATTTGCTTCTTTTAGTTATCCCTAATTAGTGGAACTTAACGTTATTATGCAGTCAAATTGAGCATGTCATTATAACTTTTTTATTTGCAGCTCAGCCCGTTTTGAGGGCTCCCTCAACATGGATCTGAATGAGATTGCGATGAACCTGGTGCCCTTTCCTCGTTTACACTACCTGGTGCCCAGTCTCACACCCCTCTACACATTAGCAGATATTAATGTGCCCACAAGGAGGTAAGCCTTGTGCCCATCGGTGCAGTTATTTTTACCTGACAGTTGTTGTGTGTCCTGCAGAGCTCCTCCTCACATGAACCCCTCCATTGATGACTTGACCATTTAGAAGTGGTTTCGGTTGGTTTACACCGTAACTTAAACTGTCATTTGTAACATGATGATGAAACAGCACCAGTCAAGCAGGACTGACTCACGATTTCCTACAGATGGGGTGGCTGATATGGTTAGTGGCATAATTTAGATTCAAATATTTTCCTGATATGAATCATGTGAAAGAGTATAGGCTGAAGCTTGCAGCTTACATAACTCCTGTCCCTGACACCATTCTAGACATAAGGAACACAACCACATCCTTAACATCTGGTTTAAACACAAAATCACTATGAAAACAGAAAGAAATGATTGACCGTTTGCCCCAAATTCAGCTACAGATGAACATTAAACATGACATTTTTAAATAGTTTCAGTGTGCTGCACATTTCAGTTTTGTCAGGACAATAGTTCCAAACTCCTTGAATTCAGGGTATTTAATTGAATAAATAATGGATTTTTTTGTTGTTATTTTTTTTACTCATAGAGTTTGCAATATTATGCAAAGTCAAAAAATAGAATATATTTCAACATTTTGGTTTTCATAATTTCTATGCAATTTCCATTTCAGTGGTTTTATCCAAATAAGCCATACTTGGTTAGTCTTTTTTTTTTGTAATTGTACTGTCATGACCTTTAACATTTACCAGGTAACAGAGGCCTGTAAAATCTCAGTTGTAGCTCTTGGGTCTTTTGGATTTCCTCTGAGCATTGCATGGTGTGACCTTGGGAAGAATTGTGGGGGATTGTGGTGCTCTTTGCACACTCCTAAATGCTTCAGTTTACCAATGAGTGGCAAACTGCCCAAATGTCTGCTTTTACAGTGGTAGAGTGAAAAAAGTGAAACTTGCTCATGATCAATTATCTCCTATAAAAGCTTTCTTTTTAAAATGATTCTATGAATGACCTGGTTAGTCTATGATTTTCAACCCAAAGTACAAACACCCCACAGGTTAGTGTCCAAGTGGCAGAGTGACAGATTAGCTTGTCTGGTCACAAAAAAATTGGAAAAGTAAAGAACTGAATGCCTCAAGTTTGAGCAGAAAAGTTATCAGTTAGGTAAAAGTAATAGATCAGATGTAGAATTAAACTGCCAAATAATAATAAACATATATTGTCTAATATTTACATTTGTTTGATGGATATTTAATTGTGACAAACGTACAAGAAATACAAAATCAGGAAGGAGGCAAACACCTTTTAACACTTCTGTTAATATAAGCAGTGATGCAGAAGTGGGGAAACAGCTGGAAAATAGAGGCGTAGCTAAGAGTTGTGAATGGTTTAAATAATAATCCAGTACTTAATGATTAATAGTTGATTAATTCTGCTGATCATTACTGAAAAATAGTATTAAAGTAAGATCCAGTTCAAATAGGTTTAACACTTTACATTCGACCTTGAGTTTGTATTAAATATAAAACTATCTTTTTTAATGAACTCACCTGATCTGAATAACCAAGGTGCTAAAAACTCAGAACAGCACTTTTCTTCCTAGTTAAACAGAAGCATAAGAGTTTAAAACACCACAAAGCCCCAGCTTTCTTTTTATTATGTGAAAAAGCAGCAAGTTCAATTTTAGCTTTCCAGACGTAGGATTTAAAAAAAAAAAACAAACAAAAAAAAAAAAACCACCAATCTGCCTACCTCCTCCCAGCAACAGCTGCCACAAAAGTGGCCTTGTGTGGGCCACAGAGACCTTCTCTCCTCCTATGAAGATGCTTATTGGTCAAAAAGAGTGGTGGTTTTACTGGATAACTCCCAGCAGTAAATATATGTGACTGTATGAATGCAGGGCATGGTGTTGCTTAAAAATATCTCGCCTGCTCTTTGGGACTTCCCTACATAAATAAAGGTGCAAACATTCTTCTATGCCAAACACTGCCGTCTTGGTTCCCAGTCTTTTTGAACTTCTGATAAAAATCTTCAAGGCATGTTCAGTTAAAATCGCGTTCATTGAGGCTGGAAGAAAAAGCTATAAAAGGAATATTTAAGATGATTTGAGGCACATTCATTTCTTGTAAAGTTGATCAACTGATACAAGCATTTCTTTTCTTCTCCTGTCTTCCAACCGTGCCGTGCGCTCTAGACTGGATCAGATGTTCAGCGATGCCTTCAGTAAAGACCACCAGCTAATACAAGCTGACCCAAAGCACAGCCTGTACCTGGCTTGTGCCCTCATGGTCAGGGGTAACGTGCAGGTTTCTGATGTCCGCAGGAACATCGAGAGGTCAGAGGAAAATCCTTTATTTCTGTATATAATTCTACACCAAAAGATGTAACGATTTCATGCAACCATTCCAACGTACCCAGTGATCCACACACTCACCTTTTCCCATAGTATACCCATTGAGCACTAGCAGTAAGTCATGATTACTGCATTCAGCCACAAGCTCTTACTATATTCTCCTCTAACCACTGCTCTCACAGAACTCCTTTTCAGTTGGCGCACACATTTTGTACTGTGACTGTTGTGTTAAAATTGTTGGCAAAAGAGGTAGGAGGAGGAAGGAAGTACAAATATAGATATATATACTTAATGTACAAACAGGACTAAGTATCTTAACTATAAGGATACTTGTAGATGTTGGTAGTCCTCTAATCTGCAGACAAGTGAAGGGTTTTTTTTGTTTGTTTTTTTTGTTTTTTTGTTTTTTTTACTGTTTCATTTCCAGTTGTTTGATTGTTGTTAAAGCTAGTGAGGTAAATATGCTTGGTTTCTGGATTTAAAGTCATAGCTCCTAGCTAGGGAACTGTTCACATATTGATTTCAGGATAAAGTACAGTAAACTGAGACTGAACAAAGTCTTTTGGTTGTCATGTGAAGCTCACATGTTAAACATTACATATACAGTTATTTTCCCCTCTCTCCTGGCTTTAGACTGAGACCATCACTGCCCTTTGTCTCATGGAACCAGGAAGGCTGGAAGACGAGTCTGTGTTCAGTGCCTCCCGTGGGACACTCCCACTCCCTGTTAGCTCTGGCCAACAACACCTGCGTGAAGCCCACGTTCATGGAGCTCAGGGAACGCTTTACCAAGCTCTACAGGAAGAAGGTGCGTCTCAAGCTGTCTTTGTGAGGACATTCTTTGCTAGTAATGCATTCCCAGATCTAATAACTTAAATTTTACTATTACAAACCTATAGTCTACTCTTAGCCTAAACCTAATTCTAGCTTAAACCCTAAACCTTTTAACCCATCTGTAAGATGTAGCTACAAAAGATAACTTGGCATATAGTCTTCCTGCACTGGTTTAAGTTTAGAGGCATACATGGATTTCAAAATGTGTATTTTCTTTTATTTAATTCAATATGTGGTGCAGGTACAGCCACAGAAAACAAAGCAGTTTGTCTTCAGGTGAAATGATATCTCAGGTTTATTCTTCAAGCTTATTGGCAAATGCATATCAGCCTCTAAATCTGACAAACACATCAGTCAGACTCAGTTTAATGTTTTGTTTTTTTCATTTTAGGCTCACTTACACCACTACCTGCATGTAGAAGGGATGGAGCAGAGCTTCTTCTCAGAGGCCATTGCCTCTCTCAACTCACTGATTGAAGAATATCATCATCTGGATGCCACCAAGGCCAGACTCACGCCTGATGCACCCAGACTCTCCATCGCCAGATGAAGGTCTGCTGTGCTGTGAATCTGGGAATCAAACTCACAGAACTGAAGCTTTTACATATCAACGTTATCTAATTTATGGCATGGTCAAAGTGTTCCAAACAGCACTTAAAGAGAACATCAGTTTAATCTACTCTAAAGCTTCTATTTGCTTTTCCAAGCTCCCTGATTGTTCTGTTATGAGGTAATGTTAAAGCTAGTACACTGGCCATATTCCTTGTTGTTAGTGCACATACCTGTCCTGAAGAGTGCTCCATAAAACTTTGTTTTGTTTTTTTAATGATCTGTTGTTCTTCTTTCTCAAAATTAGTTTTGTTTTTGTCCTTTTGGAGGTGCAAAACTGTTACTAAGGGAGAATTAAAGTGTATGTGTGTTTCAGTCCTTAGTTTCTCACAGCGGGGCTTGCACCACTCTGCGTCTCTGACGTTTGGGGTCCTTAGAGTAAACGCAGGTCAGAAAACATGTCGCCCGGATCGTTGCACTTCCTCTGACACACACAGGACGTTATCCACTGCATCTTCCACTGTGTATTGGAGCCTCCTTTGCAGGTGAAGTTGACCTTGATCATGCGTGACTTGTTGGGGACACAGCAGCGCTTGTCTGTACACACACCGCAGTATGTGGGCTTAAACTTCTTGTTGCTGGTACAGCCAGAGAGAGTCAACTTCTCTGCTTTCTTTGCCTGGAATTTGGGTCGGCACGTCTTTCCCTTTGGCACCTAGAAGTGGAAATAGCAATTGGTGTCTTTCTTTTTAAGAGTTTGAGAAAAAAAACTTTAAAAATTAAATGAAAATATTAAAGATTCAGACAGATTAAAGCTAAAGATGCCACCTTGACACTCCTGAGCACGCTTTTCTCACACGGTTGCAGCAGGCACAGGCGGCGGTCTTTCCTCATCTCACACTTGCTGTTATCGTTGTTGACACGTACAGAGATGCCCAGGCCACAGGTCTTGGAGCAGGGACTCCAGTGGGTGGTCTGGATTAGGCAGTTCCTCTTCCAGGCTAAAGGAGGGTCCCTGTAACCTTTCAGTGTTACAGTTAAAGGGTACTGTGTCAAGCAAAGCACAGATCAGAATCATTCCAACAAGCTGCTGTGTCTCCATCAGAGATGGGCAGTAATGCATTAAAAGTAATGCATTTCTGTAATCTGATTACTTTTCAAGTAACGAGTAAAGTAAGGGATTACTGTTACTATACCATAAGCATGCTGCGTTACTGATTTTGTTTGTTAATGTCTCATGACAATAGTGGATAATATAGAGATATTATCCACTGTTGATCTGCGGCAGAGAGTACATCCATGCAGTGTTTAAGGCTTGGAATTACTGACATTACTTTGAGTTTGATTCTGTAAAAAGTGACATAAACATTAGCGTCCGCTGTGCACTCTACGTGGGAAGAAAACTTCTTTCTACAGTGAAAAATTAAACTTCAAATTATTTATTTCTTGCTGTGTTTTTCTTGCATCTATTTGAAAGAGTGAGAGTAAACACAAAAATTATTTTATTTTAAATGCTGGAATATGCGGAACATAGGTTTAAATGTTAAACAAATTTCTTCAACTCAGAGAATGTTGCATATAATTTAATTTTTGTTTAATGCAATGTGTATAAAGTTAAAAGATTAAAACTAACAAAACAAGTTTGAAAAAGAGACTTTTTGATTTGATTCAATTTTATATGATGGATTATGCAGGAAAAAAATTAGAATTGGCTGAAAGGTCTATTGCATTATTACATATGTATCATGTTTTTAAAAAGTAAATAATAAAGTAACTAATTACTTTTGAAAATAAGTAATCCGTAAAGTAACAGGATTACTTTGTGGAGAAGTAATCAGTAATTAGTAACAAATTACTATTTTCAAGTAACTTGACTAATACTGGTTGTGATTAGGTGCTATAGAGCCTTATTGGAGCAGTCCCATTAATCAATTTTGAATTCATTATGATATGAAATTGCTGCTACATAGAAAAGGACAAAAAAATTAAAAGATCTGCATAGAAATGTAACACAAAAGAATCTGAAACACTGTAAACATACCAGCTCACTACACAAACTCAGCTACATGTAAAAGAATGCCTATCTTTACATATTATTATTATTATTATTATTATTATTATTATTATTATTACCGGAGCCGTCCACTAGCACCAACACTTCTCGAACCACAACCAGATCAGACCCACAAACACCAAAATAAAAGCTTCTTTTGTTATTAGATCACCCTCAGAACTTTCCCATCTCGTTAGTGCATTTTTGTGACTATAGCATCATGCTATAAGACACGACAAGCTTACTAAGCTTGTCGTGTCTTTTCTTGACATTTTTAATCAAAATTAAAATGTTTCAACCAAATCTCAACGACAGGGACGATGAGTTTTTGCTGGGTGGGAAAGTGCTTTGTTTTTTCACAGTGGCAAATCACTGTATGTGACTCAGATAGATCATGTGATAGATCTGGTTCAGTTACATGCCACGCCAATTAAATAAGCTTTGCCGTACATCAAAGTGACATTTTTATGGCTTTTAATAAAAACCAACTTGTTTCTCTTCCTTTTCCTCCTCTAACTGGAATCATATGTGTCAGACAGTTTAACCACAGGTAGTCACACCTCACACTGACAGTACTGAGTAATGAGGCTCCCCCTTCCCTTCCAGCTACCTAACAGCAATTAGCATTCCAGGCAAGACAGTCTGGCTCTTCTCCATGAATTCATTCTCTAAACACACACCTGACATGTAGGTAGTGTCCTGCTGGTGCTTGTTTGGGCTCTGGCCACTGCGAAGGCCAGCTGGCGTGTTGCTGATCAGTGGTGCAGAGCCTAAGAGACCAGCAGGCTTCTGGATGAAAGCAGGGGTACAGCCGATGGCTCCAGCGATGCATGTACACTTGTAGAGGGGGCTGGACTGGAAGGATTCTCCATTCTCATAGTGGACCCCATTCAGGTCACAGCCTACCGCCATCATGTCTGAAGGAATGAGAAGAAACATGCTGGTGCAAATCTCAAACTCTGATTATGCTGGATCTTAAGACTGTAATGCAGATTAATATCTTTTTTGTTTGTTTGGGGGTTTTTTGTAAACCAAGAATTTTACTGTGTCTTTTTCCCCAAAAGCATACAAATATGAGATTTGAGTGCAAATTAGCTTTTTAAAAATGGCATACTCCTTTATGCTGGCATTGATTCCCAGCCTAGCACGCAATTTGCACATTTCGAATGATGACATGGAATGTAAAAACATGTTTTTGCAGGGATGGACACAAAAACCAGTGGTTTTTGACTCACGTAGGTGGAATTGTTGATTGGAGTTTAAGTTTCCCACTGAGGTTTGTAAAAGCCCCTTCAGGCTTCTTCACACTTGCATATTTTTTTTAAATTGCTTTCCCGTTAAACCGGTTTAGAGCGGCCTCCTCTGAAGCCACTGTGTGGCTTTATGCAAACACTAAAAAAAACTAATTTAAACATACAACTTTTATGGTCTTTCCAAATGTTGTTTGGCTCATGGTAGAGTAATTGTGATTTGCACTGCTTTAAAATATGCCATTCACAATATATCCATAATTCTGTTACTGTTGCAACACACGTAACCCTGCGACAGCAGCCCCTGGGGCTGAATCCTCAAATATCCTCTTGACGCTGAATCCAAAAGTGAGGCGAGCCCCATAGACTGCTGTTTAAAACAAAAACATGTTTATAAGTTGGTACAGAAAGGTGTTTTGGTCTCAGTAGCTAATATTTCCCTTCATAAATTTTCAATAACTAAACTTTTGAACTGTATTAAAGCTTAAAGTGAGAGGTGAGGTCAGTTTGATCATGGTTATTATAAGCTGTTGTGTGCTATAGACCATTCTCTCAGGAAGTCTTTAGTTTTTGGAGAATAAAATTCAAATATTTTATCGGTTTGTCAGCATTACCTTTCTGACATGTCTCCCCAATATGATGTTTGTGTAAAGTTGGTCAAAAGGTTCCTTTGTAAGTGCGCATGCGCCATTAGCGTGCTGCCTGCTGTAACCCTAAATTCCTTCGGGATTAATAAGCTAAAGTCAAGGCTTCAAAATACTAAAACGCAAACCAGTGGGTGATGTTACTATAGCCATGTCCAACTTTTACAATGTTTGACCACCTGCCAACAGCCAGCATCACACTGCCACAGTTGTAGGAAGTAAAGCAGCATGTACCCCTGTAATCAGAGCTGGACTGGTAATCTGGCACAATGGCCCTATTCCCGGTGGGCCGGAGCGCCGATCTGAAAGGCTGCTGCACACTGGTCATACAAGCACTGACAGCAGCCCATTCATTCATATTTATTACAAATCTTTTCACGAGCTTGTAAAGGTTTATAATAATAATAATGGATTACATTGCTGGGCTCGAACCAGCAACCTTCCGATTATAAGACGAACTACCAACTCTTGAGCCACGATCGCCCCACGAGGAAGATGAAACAAACGTGGTAAGATGGAGGGACATAATAACGAAGGATCCGAGTAAAATGAGTGGCTGCTTTGACCATGAGTCACTGCTGCAGTGCAACTAAGGAAGCCTGATTAAAACCTGTGTTGGGCCCCTTGACTCTTTATTGCAACCCTGCCTGCAATCAAGTAAAAGACCAGGTCCACTCACATGCACACACTCCAACCTCGTATCTTGGCTTGTCTGCGGAGAAGTCACAGTACATGCCCTTGTGTGGGTCGCACACGTCCCTCTCGTTGCACGGCTCTCCAATTTGTCGGGCGCAGCTCTTACAGCAGCCGCACCCATCCAGGACAGAGCTGACACCAGGGGCACAGTAAGGTCTCTCCCGACACTTGCAGGGCCACTGGCAGAATTGGCGTCTCTCTGTCGTAGCCCGTCCACCCTGAGGAGCTTGCAGCTGCCCATTGTTCTGCGCCCTGCTGAAGCACTGAGGGGAAAACAGCCAGAAAGAGTCAAATTTTTGAATTGGCAGTACTATTTTTATTTTATTATTATGCTGGAGATGATAGGGGAAATGTACAGTAAAAAACGCTGCTCCTCGAACCAGTAGCTTTTTTTAAAAATAAATTGACAGTTCAAATAATAAAATGTTTACATGTACCAGTAGCGTCTATCTGCTTCCTGTCTACATTCACACCCATCTTTCTGGACCCTCCTTGTCCAACCAGGTTTAGTTTCTCTGGAAAATGTTAAAGTAGAACTCTTTAGTGTTCAGTGCAGACACTCTAATGGGAGACTAAAGGAACAAGATGCCTTTGCATTTTACTGTAGTGCTTTTTACCAGCCAAGGTCAATATTTTGTGTCAGATATCTTTTAGCCCAGCTTGAGGGAGATGAAAGTGAGGAGACAGATGATGCCTCAAAGGTGCTTTTAGTTTTTCCCCTGGACTGGAAAAATGATCTCATTGCCACAGGAGTAGTAACTCCATGATAGGCCCTGGGGCGTTTTTTTTCCTGGGGTCCCTTACTGCCACGTTGTACTAGAGCAAACATAAAATCTCACTCTGTCTTTCGTTCTCTCTCTTATACACACACACCACAGCAGGCCGGTCCACATGTTTGATTTGGCAGTTTTACGCTGGATAATAGTTATTTGAGTTATTTGAATATACTTGTTCTAAAAAGTACAAGTACATGCTTTCTAAATTTCTCTAAAGTTGCTAACAGGGTATGACTTTATGGTGCAGTGAGTGCATGTACCCCTTATTTAGAGTGGTGCACATGTCTTTTGGTCAGTGCCACCATCTCCAAACCATATATCATAGCAGGTCTCCCTGCTGTCTTGTAACCCTTGCCTTTCCCTCTCACTGCTATCTTTAAGCATTAAGTGTGTAACAAATCACACTTAACACCCGTCTCCACCCACCCCACTCCACCCTGCCGGTTTCTCTTCTTCATCTCTCTTGTGTCCATTGCTTTGGATGGTTGACTTCAGGTATTTAAACTCATCTATCTTTACTGTCTGTGTCTAAAAACCACGAGTAAAATCCTAACTGCAGTGGCTGTACTCAGATCCATGTGTTAGCTTTAGCTAAAACACATTTAGCCACTTAATTTCTGATCATCTTTAATAATTATCAGAAAAGATTGAAATTTGTTCTCTCTCTCTCACACACACTTTCGGGTTTGAGGCTTAGACATGTCTAATCCCCATCATACTTCTAGTTTAGCATTGTCATTGTAACTGTGCAGGGACAGTCTGGTTAAGGGGAACTCAGCTCCTCCCAGTCTTTCTTGCTTTGTATTTTTCACTGCTAAGTGCAAAACAAAACAAAACAAAAATTCAAAATAGAAACAAAAATCTGTAAGAAACCTTTCAACAAAGCATGACAGCCAAAAAATTCAACATCTAACATAGTGACACACTGCACAGAGCTCAGAGCAGTGAGAGGCCAAAATGTCTTAGATATTTCAATATATTCCAGTCCTTGAATGTCCATGTTTACCTGATGGTATTTGCTGTGATGAAATCCAGCCATGGCACCACTTGTGCTCCAAATACCCCTGGTCTCTCAGAGCTTCCAAGGGTTACTGAGGGTTATGGCAAAAATCTGAAGCCTGTCTGCCAGGTTTGCTGAATGAGCTCATTTCATGGTGTGAAAATGAGTCCACGGGAGCTTGAACTGCAAAGGCTTCCCAATTTTGTCATCTTTTCTTACTTCACGCTTCTAAAATAAGCCCTACACTAAAGCCAGTAAACTACTAAAGCCTACATACAAATAATACTATCAAACAGTCAAGTCTGAACTGGGGTGTTTTGGTATTCACTTGCAGTCAGGTATCCCACACAGCTACGTGCTTTCCTCTGAATTTATATATAGCAGTTTCTGAGTGGCATCAAGTGTTGTCTTATCTGCAGTCTGAGGGAAAAAAAGGTGAAAGGGTAGTGCTCTTCTTACCTGTTGAGCAAAGATGAGCAGGAGGGAATGGCAGAGAAGCAGTAGCATCTCTCAAGTGGTCAAGGTTTGTGTGAGATCCAGGAGAGAGATGGGGTGACGAGGGAGCAGGAAGGTGGGATTGAGGGAGGGAGACTGGGTGCTGGAAGAGGGAGAGGATTGGAATGGGGTGGGGTGGGGAGAGATTGCGAGAGCTGACCTGACTGGGGAAGGCCACAAAGCACCCTTCTGTCCCTCCTCAAACACACCTTTCCCCCCATTTCACTGATCCAGAGGGGAAGTATTTGATGCTGGGTCGCTCCACAGCCTTCAGAACCTGCCTACTTCCATAGTCTTAGCCTTAGCCTTACTCACACCTGAATGAAAATACGGGTTAAATCTTTAAACCGTGTGTGTTATAAGCTACTATTGTACATAACAAACCTACTTTCATGTTTAAAAGTCTTCTCAGTTGACACATTCACTCTGTGCCGTTTATTTAATGCGGTGCTGAAGCTGCGTGCTTCACTTAATGTGGACTGACATCTATTTGAGTTCACATTCCATTATTATTTACACTGAGTATAAAGGCTCCTCTCATAGCTAGCTCTCCACCTACATTCTCGTAAAACCAGCAGTCCTTTGAGATTTCATATGGAAACACTGATAATACTCGTATTGCTGCTACTGCGTACTATACTACCATGAGTACTGCCAACAATGAGAGGCCAGAATGTCATCAGATCATTATCAACTTTAAAAACTAGTCGCAATGTAACTATATATATTCTATAACTACAAGTAATCAACGTGTTGCTATAAAATCTTGTAGAGATATTAATGGTCTCTTTTACTGATACCGCGGGGGAAATCATTCCTGAATCCTCTGTTGGATTGTCTGAAAACAATTTATAACTTTTATGTCATTTTTTCTGGATTATTGGTAGATATTCCGTCTCTCTTAATTTAAATGAAACTGCCATAACAATTGGAGACTGCTCATTTCTTCGTAGGTAAATAAACTTCAGTTTGGAGGAGGTCTGGACCCAGCAGTGAGATTTTAATCTAAACTTGTGACTCATCAAAGTAGCCACCTTTGGCGGGTATGACAGCTGATCACACATGGCATTCTTTCTAGCATTTTTTCAACATGCTAGTTGATGCCACACACTGTGGAATCATCCTTTCACCTACTTGAAAGCGTACAAAGATCCTGCCTGCAAAGATCATTAAAAATCGAAGATTTCCAATTTTGATTCACCAGTCCATAATACCTTCGTCCAGTATTCAGTAGCCCAATGATGGTGTTTCATGCAGTACAATACTGTTCAACCAATTCTCACGAGATTATGGTACCACAATGTGTTCCAACAATGCTTTTATGCAGACAGAGGGGGTTGTAACCAATCCAGGAAAGTTGAAACACCTGTAGGAATTAGTAGAACCAGCTCTCAAGGCTTCATCAGCCTCCATTGCTGCAGAACAGCTTTAAATTGGATTTTGTAGTAGTCTGAAGTGAATGAATCTTAATAGTGATGGTGATTCGCTAGTGTTTATGTGTAGCACCATAGTGGGACTGGCATTACTAGGGTTACTGACCAAAACCATGGCTAGAGCCTTTATTCAACTGCATACTTCCATATGCTAATGTTTAGTACATAAGCCTCTTTACAATATCATGCACTCTGTGAGTATCTGGCTATTGTACTTGCAATCATGGGAGGATTATCACGACTACACACTTTACAAACGTTCTACACACCTACGCATTCAAAGTTTTGTAGCACATTACTTTGAGATTATACTTCTTCTGATATTCTTTTACATTCTGTGCATGCTTTAAAATCACCTACCTAAAGCAGAGTTCATTCTGGTATTCTTTAAAGCAAAGTCATTAACAGGAGGCCTTAAATTGTCTTAATATTCCTCAACCCTGGACCACAGGTGACATCAGAGGGTTCAGCAAGTGTCTCTCTCTCTGCCGGCTAAGCCACCATCCTGCCTTGAACTTGGACCCACTAATACAATTCAATTTGCCAACCGGCCAAATGTAATCTATGCTGTCTGTGCTTTCCATATGTTGTTAGCCAGATACATGTGATTATATAACCCGGGTCAGTATTAAGTGTAATTTAACTTTGAAAATAAATAAATAAATGAAAATATGAAGGGTAACAGCCCCTACTGGTTCCAAGGGATGTGCCCCCATGGCCTAGTAATTCACCCATGTTCATAACACTCAAAAGGAGTAGAGGAATATGTACAAAACAAGGAAGGCACACACTGGAGAACAAAGTGCTAGGAAGCAGTAAAAAAGGACATGTCTGGGTATAGAGAGTATAGAGTGCCACTCATGCCACTGTGTGAGTGGCATGAGTGGCAATGGCTTCCAGGGTTGGCAAAGGTCAGCCAATGAGTTTCTGAGCTAATTACCCTCTGAGCACCCTTCCTGTTCACAGTTGTGGCCCCTGCAAACACCCAGGCAGTGGTAAAAGGCCAGCAGCAGCTTCTGGTCGAGGTTTATTCTTCCTCAGGACACAGAGGAAGTGCAGCTGTTGCTAGGCCTTCTTTACCAATGTGATGGTGTTGTGGGTCCAAGTGAAATCACCTGAGATATGGGTGCCCAGAAACCTGAAGGTGGAGACAGATTCCACCAGGCTGATTGAGGTTGGTTGGTTGGTAAGGAAATCTTTGATCCAGGAGCAGGTGGCAGGGGGGATCTGAGGTGGTCCAGTATGGTGGCCAGGATATCTGGTATTATGATGTTGAAAACTGAGTGTAATCCTCTGATATCTTAAAATAAAATTTTAGAGGATCTTAAATTTAGTTGGGGTATTTGGGTCTGGTGGATTTATTTTTGTTGTTGTTGTGGTGTTAATGTGTTGGATCAGCATTGCCGTTCATTCACATTTCTTTAGTTTAGACATGTTCAAGTTGTCATTATCTACCACAGTAATGTAGTTACATTCTTATCAACACCAAAGGAACACCTTCTCACAGTGGAAAAGTGTGAAAAGCTTTTTGATCCGGCAACGTTTTTTATACACCATAAAAGCACTAAAACATGTTAGTTTCCATCATGATTCAATGATGAATAGTTAACCCTACAGTAATTAGAACATACATACTGTACATATGCATAAATTAAAAAAAAATATTTAGTCATAACATTTGTTTTTCTTTTGGGGGTTTTTTTTGGTTGTGTTTTTCCCTCCTCATCACGAATGATCTGTCTTTGATTAGTGTTGAGTTTTATTTAAGCCACATGGTAAACAGGCTGATTTTCAAAACCTAAGCATTTCAGTTCTGTCACAGTTTGGCATTACAGTTTTTCCTTTTAGGAGCTTTCCAACTTGGCTTCAAATAAACAGATATTCTATGAAAAAGCTGTAAATTAATTTTAAGTGGGTTGCTACTTGCGTGTTGACCTTTAAAATGTGAAATTATATTTTCATTGGCAATCAACATACTTCAACAACACATCATCCATACACACAAAAAACTGCTTTATACAAAATATCCAAATATCCCTTGGCTTCTTTGTGGGGTGCATGGTAGGAGTTACAGATGGTTTTAAGCTGGGGGTGGGATTACACTGGGGATCAGCTCTGAACTGCTTCTTGTTAAAGATGTTGTTATAGATGTTAAATAATTAGCATCAATGCTTTCTGATTTTACATACATTTTACATAGAAAACAATGAGAAAATGAGAGAAAGGGGAATGCGGATGGAGGAAAGATAGAGAATCAAGACGCCCAGAGGATTAGTAAGAAGGACGTGGGGGCAGCTATGAAAAGGGTGATGAAGGAAAAAGGCAGTTAGTCCAGATATACCTGTTGAGATATGGAGACTGGCTAACACAACATTGGAAAATGAGAGGATATCTCAGGAATGGAGAAGACATGTACTGATACATGGAGGTATGCTCTGGCGAGAAGAGGAATGAAACTGTTGAGGGTATGATAGATGTTTAAGAATGAGAGCGAGACAGATGAAAAGGTGAATACTGAAATTGGTAGAGTTTAAATATTTGGGGTCGACCATTCAAAGCAGACACAATTAATTAGACACACTGTCCACACTGACTACAGAAAAGCTCCAGTATTAAAAATATATTGATTCTTTGCAGCTTTGTACAGTTCCATTTGTTTCCATGTAACCACAAGATGGTGCTGCAATGTGGAATGAGTGGCAGTGCAGGTGGCACAGAAATGAACACTGTTAGAAGCTCTTGAAAAATTAAAGTTGTTTACGCTACTTTTTCCTTCTGTGAAAGTGACGAGTAGCATTTATGTAATAGTGCCGGAGTTGTATTTCCTGCTTAGAATTCAGTAGCAGGGCTTGTACTGAGTTGCCTCTGGTCTTTTTCGATCATTATATGTAACTACTCCTCTATTCTTCCTGAAGTCATTTCTTGTCCTTCCCACTGACAGTGTCGGGAGCCCCACGCCTAATCAAAGAATGCCAGTCTTCTCAGATTACCCCTAAGAGCTCTGTTCCAGTTTGCATATAAGTTACTATGCATGAGGATTCCCCGGAGAAATAATCGAGGTTCTTTAAACTATACTATCAGCAGCACAAACCAAGAGATGACTGATGACTGGATATGTTTGGGAAGTGGTGAGCTAGTGATGGAATAGCATAAAAAAGCAGCTCTAATTCCTCCTCAATAGTGCTCTGAAATGGGTAATGCTTCTTTGCCTCACCACCAAAGACACCCCCCCCGTTTCAGTCACACTAACAACAAGTTGAACTAGTCTGACAACTGGAATACAGGAAACTGAGGAGCCATGTGATGCCTTTGGGTTTTCTCATAAACAAACAGAACTTTTTTTGATCCGCATTTATTGCTGCAAGAAATGCTGGGCAAATAATTCAGCTGAATCAAGTTGTTTGTCAACTGGGAGAGACAGCCACAAATTCTTGGTAAAAAGTCAAAACGGGTTACCTAATTTATTCTTATGAAACTTTTTGAGGAGGGGCGGAGAGTCAAAAGGCAAGCAGCCCACTACACAGCAGCTCCTCCCACAGTGAGGAACCTCCTCCCTCCTGTTTTGGTTCACTCCCATCACTCGGAGGTTAGATCACCCTCAGAGAGCTGCACACTTTCCTACAGATAGCCACAGGTTGCTGTTTAGAGTGCGGCGCAGCACAGGTGTGACTGCATATGAATGAGAGTGACTCTGCCTGTTAATCATCAGCCTGGCACAGGCATAAATTCCAGCCTTTTTTTCTTAGACATTTGACTGAAGCTTTGTCTGCTTGTGCATGTATTCCAGCTTCATTTTAGGAGCTCTTTTGGACTTTCTGAATTAGATCCGATTAGTTATAATAAGGCAGATTTTAACTGTGCATTCACCAACAGTCAGCACAATGAATTTTGATGAAATCCTCTCTGTTATCGGAGGCTTTGGGAAGTTCCAGAAGAGCTTATATGTGTGGATCTGTCTACCTCAGATCTTTCTGGCATTCCACATGCTGGTTTCAGTCTTCACCGGGGCAGTCCCTCCTCATTTATGCCGCTTTCCCGGGCTCTCAGCGTGGACTCCAGCCTCTTCAAACTTCAGCCTTCTAACCACCCGTGATGGACAACTTGACCTGTCCTGCACCGTCCCTTTAAACCACAGCAGTGCTGAATCTCTTGGCAATGGACATCCTACCCGCAGGAGCTGCCCGGAGGGCTGGGAGTACAGCACAGAGACATTTCAAAACACTATAGTAACTGAGGTGAGTGTAAATCCAGCAGCCTCTTGGATAAACCCAGATGTGTTCAGCATGGAGATACGGAATGTGAAGAGACTTAACACTTTTATTACAATGGCCTCTGGTGACATTTGAGACAGGGGTGAATGGGGTTACAGTTGAGAGCTGGACTCATGCAGGGCAGGACCCTCTAGGCATCCCTACATACTTGGATAATGTTTTTGAAACATACACGTGAGGGGCGGGGAGCAGCAGCAGTTACATGACCAAAATGATGTAACTGGACAGGGCACTGTCACATGTAAGACACAATTCATCTCCAGTAAATACAGTAACTAAGCAGAAAATTATGAGTTAAGTGCAGTTGATTTAGGACAATCGACTCATCATTCGATTAGAAGATGTATGTCGGCCTGGAGCATTTTAGCTTTTTATGCTATAAAGGACCTCACTGGTCTGTAATGTTAGTTCTAAAACCAAAGAGCACTTTGCTAGAGCGTCCTACAAACACTCTAGTACCTTTTGTTGAGACAAAGTTAATGAAGTTTATGAAAGGCTGCAGAGTTCTCTCTACCACAGATATCCAGTTGGAGACACTGAACAAGAGAGACACAGAACTTAAAGAATCCACCCATCCATTTTTTCCTGTTACCCAACTCAGAATCACGGTCGGCCTGGAGCCTATCCTACCTGCCATAGAGGGAGCGGAGGGGTACACCCTTGACATGTTAACTGCTCGTCGCAGGGCTAACACAGAGAAACAAACTACCACTCACACTTACGTTCACACCTACTGCCAATTTACAATCACGAATTAAGCTAACCCAACTAGCTGCATGTCTTTGGACTCTGTGTGGACAAAACATGCAAACGCGAGGGCGACATGCATACTTCACACTGAAACACTTCAACCAGATGTCAGATTTGAACCTAGGGCTTCTTGCTGTGACCTTTCTGCATCACTGTGCTGCCCAACTTAAAGATTCCTGAATTCAAATTTACGGGAGAGTGCCACAACACCAAAGATAGTGATTCTCTACATGAACTGTTTCTCTCTGGGTGACCACTGAAATTATAGTCAGGTGACACAAGGCTTTAACAAAGTGCAGTTTTCCTTACATATCCCTATGTGATCAAGCTCTCTCAAGGTCCAAGAGTAAAATATAATGTTTTAAATGACTCCCGAGTTCTTAAAAAAATTCATGTTAGTGCCAACACTATCATTAGACCTTATTCTGTGAGGGACATGAACGTCTCCTGCTATCTCGCCAAATTTCATGATGATCACATCCAATCTTTCTGAGATATCATGTCCTTGAGTAAAGGGTTTGTCTAGGGTGACTGTGGGGATCAATTTGTATTCTAGCTGTTTAAAATCACAGAATTGTCTCCAATCCCTTTCAAAGTAAAGCATTTGTACCAATGTGCCACTCACTGCGCCTTCCTGTTTTCCACTGTTTAAGAGTTTTCATGAAACATCTTGCTTTTCTTCCTCCTAGTGGGACCTGGTGTGCGATAATGCCAGCCTGAACAATGTGGGCTCATCTATCTACATGTTTGGCCTTCTTGTTGGAGCGGTTGTGTTTGGACACTTGGCTGATAAGTAAGTTAAACATAGCATACCCATTTCAGAGCACTATTGATCTGAATACAAAGTACTTTACTCTTTTAGGAGTTTGTAGTGGTAGAATTTTTTGAGTGTCATTTACTGGAATGACTAACTTCTGAAATCTTTTGTCGCAGATACGGTCGCAGGATAATTATCCTTGTCAACCTAGCTAGCCAGGCTATCTTTGGAGTCGCTGCTGCTTTCGCACCTAATTTCTACATCTACACTGCCCTTCGCTTTATGGTTGGAACATCCATCTCTGGTGTTATCATGAATGCCTTTGTCCTTGGTCAGTGTCCTGCAGTGGTTACACGAAAACAGAAGTTAAACAAGATGCTAAATGTCTTCACTGTTGAAGTGTCAATAGTGCAGATAAAAATTCTGATCAGCACGATATGTGTATTATCCTTTGACCAAGATCATCAACTTATATGAATTGTTGTTGTTCAAAGGAATTAAAAGGAAGTAATTCAAAGAAAAGTTTTCTCACATTACAAAAACATGTTACGTTACCTATACTGGCTAGACTGCTGTGGTTTTACGTACAGTTTTTGCTTCTCCTTCTTTACTTTGAAGATAAATGAATGTGGTGCACAGTGCTTACAAGATTACAAAGCATGGCATTATAAACCTAAACTAAAACCTGCATTTATACTTACCATTAGATGTTATCAAGGGAGAAAATAGTTTCTTCTCTCATAATTTAACAAGAATGAACACTTGGGCTCAACCACAGTTTTAATGGTGGCACTCCACCATTTTGGCACATGCAGGTTAAATTTGTAAAAAAAAAAAAAGTACTAGAGTACGTGTACAGTGACATTTCTAAAATAGAAAGTAGTTTTAATCAAAGACTTGACTGATGTTTTTACTTATTTATTTTTGGTATATCTTTCATACAGTATTTTGTATTGTGTGTCAAGCTTTGTGTATTAATATGTTCTTACTGCACAGGCACAGAATGGACCGGATCAAAACAGAGGATGTTGGCGGGTATAATCACAGACTACTTCTTTGGCTTTGGCTACATTTTTCTGGCCGGTGTAGCGTATCTCATAAGAGACTGGCGTAAACTGCAGTTGGCTATATCCGCACCTGGCTTCCTCTTTATTTTCTACATCTGGTGAGTGTGGAGCAGCCCAGCCTAGAATTTTGACTAGTTTCCAAAAATGATTTGGTAAAAGTATCAGAAAGCAAAGAAAGAAGGGAACTAATCAACAACAGACTGAGTTTTTGAACACTGTGGTTCAGAAAATAAAACTACAGCCAATGCTCACTGTTGTGATTTATATGAAATTCCTCACAAGCCAGTGTGGTCTTACAGAAAAACACGCTGACCTACTTTTGAATTCTTCTTTGTTTGTCCCTTACTTTAATACTTTAATACTACAGTCAATAATAGCTGAATTCTACTAAGATGTTTGAGAATTAGGTGATGCGACAAGTCATAGCTTCCAATTAAGGCATCGAGAGTCAAGTATGTGTGTAAAGAACAACTATCTGTAATATATTTTTTAGGGTTTTGCCAAAGTCTGCTCGCTGGTTAATGGCCAATGACAGGACAGAAGAAGCATGGAAACTGATCCAGAAGGCAGCGCAGATAAACGGGAAGCCCCTCATTAAAGACCTGGAGATGTGTCAGGTACAGGTTAATTCTGTCTCTTACACATGAGCTTTTTTTTCTACAGCTGTCATTGTAGAATACAGCAAACACTCGAAACTGACATTGAGTGTTGTGCTGACAGATGTCTGATGGTGGGCCACTAAGCCTACTAATACTAGTCTACTGCTACTACTCATGGTCTTACTGCACACTAAGGTCTTTATGTCAACTCATTGAAAAATTTAAGAGACCATAAAAATTTAGTTTGTTCATCAAAGATCTAAAAAGTTTTTTTTTTCCTATCACCAAATTTTAGGATTAGCCTATGTGACATAGATCTCAGAAGATTTCAAGATTTAAAAAAACAAAACAAAAAACAGTTTGTCACATTCTAAATATTTAGATACGTCTAAAGCTGAGATTATTCTGTTACTGGACTCTTGGTTCTTCATATTGGTTAGATACTGCATTTGTCTTTTTGGTCTCCCTAACATGCACAGTACTGCAAATAAACTGATGATGTCTGGAATCCTATCAAATTTAACAGTACCATCAGGGAGGCATCACTAAAACCTTGAAAGTTCGAAAATGTTGAAAAAACGAATACATAGCAAATTTAGGAACCACCGAAAGGAAGTGAGAAAACATGTTTTTTTCATTTTGGTGATAGACTCTTAAAAAAATAAGTTTCTCTTCCTGTCGTGAGCTGAAATTATGGAACTTGCCATTTCATGTTGCTGACTAAGCAGTTCTTAGTATCCTTAGTAACACATGTAGCACTGTCCTGATTAACAGTCCCATCAAATTAAGTAGCTTCATTAAGTAGCTGTCCTACATGAGTGCTTAGATGATCATTATAGATTTCCAGATATTCATTTCAGCTTTAAGTAAACACCTAACACAAAAATTGCCAAATTCAGTGAGCAACAGCTGCAAAACTGTTTTGCCAAAGCGAACAGTCTTGGGCCTTACAGATGAGAGACACGTGAAAAATTTTCCAAATGCAATTAAATCTGTCTCTCTCTCACTATTCTGGAGTGAGCTTTGGCAAACTACAGCAAATGTTATTTTTTTATATGAGCCTTATGACAACAAAGAAAATGGTATTATTAACTGTCACAGTGTGCGGATGCAGACTGTGTGGAGTGAAGAGGAGGGCCCAAATGCAGACACGCAAAAACAAAACTTGATTCTAACAGAAAACATGCCGTTTATTACGGCATTATTGAGCAGTACAAAAAATAAAAGGGCAAAAATAATTTGAAGCTAAGCAATAACCTAAAACCGGGGAAAACTTGAACGAAAACATGAAGCATCCTAAACATGAAAAAACCTGGCGAGGACAAAATAAACATGCAAAAAACCTTAAACCTGACAACTTGGCATAAATCCACAAAGACCTGGAAATATGGCATAATGCGGCAGGACAGCAGACGATCGGACAACGAATGAATGAAGACTCGAAGATCAAATGAATGAATGAAATGACCTGGGATCATGGCATTAACTTAGTTTTAAAAAACACTTCCCTGGTGGAAGAGATAAAGTCTTTGTGGTTGGTTGCTAGCCGATGTTCAGTTGCTGTTTGCCCCTGTAATGTATTTACTACTCTGTCATTTGTAAGTCACCAGTATCCTGCAAGGAGCCACTGCTGAAAAAGGTTATCTCGCCTACCTGCCCAATTCGCATCAATAAGTGGTTATTTTCCCATCTTCACCGGAAGTTGCTGAAACTCATTGACTCTGTGTGATCTCGTTACTCCCTGTGTGAACAAGACTTAAATGGTGCTCCTCTGATGCTGATAAAAGAGGACGAAGGTGCCAAGTTGTCCCCACTAACTTGTCACTGAACGTGGATGTAGCCACTTTAAAATCACCCACTGCTTTTTGCACTTTGTTTTTTGAAGCCTGAATAATACTGTTTTGGAGGATTAATTGACAAGGGGGTAAAGTGCTCAGCTATCAGTTTGGTTAAACTCTACAGCATTATTTAGTGCTAGGAAGCTTAATAATACTTCCAAGTCTAGAAAAAAAAGGAGGTTTTTTTTGGTTCTGCATAGTACACTGCACAGACATGATGCCCTTAAGGTTCTTTATTAAAGTTGCAGTAGGCTCTTGAAAGTGTACATTTTCCTGGAGTCAGATTAGAAAAAAAATAAAACTACAGATTTTGAAGGTGTTTTGTTTTCATCTTTTTTCCTTAATGGTAGTCTAAAAACTAGCCAGTTTGGCTAGTAAATGTGCTCTTTGGCCCTGAGATTAATGGGGTGTCTATAATGCAGGGCATTTCAAGAGCTTTTAAATTCCCCATTTTGCATGTGTTTGATCAAACAAATATGGAAGCCCGTTTCCGCCACCAAAAAAACCCCTAAAAACAGGTATCCATAACTCGAAATTTCGAGTTATTTTCTTGAAATTTCGACTTACTAATTCGAAATTTTAACTTGTTAACTCTAAATTTCGAGAAAATAACTCTAAATTTCGAGTTATGGATCCTTTGTTTGTTTGTTTTTTGTGGCAGAAATGGGCTTCCATAAACATATATACACTAATATGAACTTTAGAAATATCTGGCTTGTAGAGAGAAGTCTGCCTCTGAAGTTACCCAGTTTAACATCTATGCATCTTGTGGCGCTTTTCTTCATCTTTTGTTAGAACTGAATTTGTCCTATAGAATATGCAAAATATAGTCATTACTTACACCTCACAGGTTTTAAAAGAAAACTTGCAAACAGAATCTCTTTTTTGTTTGCTCACTCTCATCTGCGGTTTCAGCAAAAAACATATGGAAAACTACAAAAACCACAGGCGTCTGCTCCATGAAATATCTCTGACTTTATTGAATGTGCAGTAAATCCTTGTGTCCCGATGGCAGTCTAAGGTTTATGTGAACCAGCTGCTTGGATGGTCATATAACCGCACATTTCCCATTTTTTTCATGTTACAATGCAAGAAATCACTGACTAAAATTTCAAGCCCTGCTCATGGTCTCAGACACTCACAGGTTTTGTCAAAAGTCTGTGTGAATCAATTTCAGACAAGCACACATACAGCGTCATCTGTCAGCAGGAGCCAGCCGTCTTTCACCATTACTGGAAAAGTGCACAGGCTCAGTAAAAATAAAACACAAATCAACTACTGGATTTGCACAGAAGCTCATCTCAATGTATTTTTACACCTTGTGCATTTCTTTTTTTATTCAGTGCTACTAAATATAACTGTTTCCACACACACAGCTCTGCTAACGTGCTGCTCATGCTACGCTCTTTATACAGACGTGGCTTTCCACTCAGCTGTAGTGTTGTAGGTAGGAAGGTAATTAAACACAGCTTAGAGCAGATATCATTAAAGCACTAGAAGCAAAGATAAATAATGTTTCATTACAAATGAATGTCAAGGATAGTTTTTATTAGCAGTGAGAATATTCCCTCTATGACACTGCTATTCTATTTTTATCCTCCTCTGTTATTCAGGAGCCACTACTTATTTTCATGTGTTTTTTGATAAGTGGGTATCATTTAAACATGCAAACTATTCAAACAGAACTACTGAACATATTTTGCACCCTCAACCACAGACACTGATACCTATTGTCTTGCTTGTTTCACAGCAGGTCTGTAAAACCGAAGAGAAAACTGTAGCAAAGAACAAACACTCGTTCCTTGACCTTGTTCGAACACCAAGAATGAGGAAGCACTCTCTGATTGTCTTTTATCTGTGGTGAGTATAAGCACATGTTTTTTTCAGTCAGAGTCAGACTGAGCACAAGACTGCTCCTGAGGGTTCACGCTTATCATCCACATCCCCACCTCTGCATGTCGGCCTTCAGTCCTGTCTAAGGGGACCTTTTAAACTCTCAACAGGGGCTGAAGAGTCTGTCTGAAACATGGATTTGGGAATGCAATAAGGACAAATTAGTGCTATAAGCTCAATCAAATTTCAAACAACAGAAAAAATGACCATGGGAAAAACAAATGAGTAAGCTTGTCTTGCTTCTAAATACTTGAGTCTTATTTATCCAGGAAAAATATAACATCTGAACAAAATCTCCATGTAAGACCTATTTGAATTTGAACTCAAAACAAACAAATAAATCAAACTTATTTGATATACTTCATAACATGGCTGAATATTAGCACTTAGCTCATGCTAATGCCAGCTAGCTAATTTAGGTAAATCTATTTCTGGGACATAAAATGAAATTTTGGCTAGCAAAAAAATACTGGGCTTAAAATAGACTTACAGTAGAAAGAGAACAGCTGAAGTAGCAGTCAGGCACCTAAGGTCGAACTGTGAGCTTATCAGCTAACAGTAGTGTTGGCTTGCTAATCTATATGTAATGCACTTTGATAGCATCTCTGGCACATCTTTGCTAACTGATGTCACACAGGTTGCGAAAAACAGCAAGCCACAACTAGCTGGGATGTGCAGGCCATGAACCAAGTCACAAAGGGCTTATCTATAATCAGTGAAACACTCATTAGCTCACTGGGTTAAAACAACATTAAAGCTGGAAAAACCCCTCGAGTAATAAAGGCACACTGTGTGCACAGTTTTACTTTTGGCCCTAAAATGATATAGGAAGCAGTTTGGAGTTTTGTGCCTCTTCAACATTCCCTGCAGTCTAGAATTTTGCTTTTTGACAGTTTGTTTTTCTGCCTCTAATCTGATTATGAAAAGCTACAGTGGAAGCCCGCGGAACTAGTTTGATTCTACTTACAGTTGAGGTGAAGCATTAAGACTTATATCGTTCCTAAGGGCTAAATGTCCTGTTAAAAATATAAAGGATGTCCTGTCATATCACATTTTTCATGGCTAAGGATGAGTGCCTTTGGTTTTTGCACCACGGAATTCTCAAATGTGAATCCATCAGTGCAATAAGGGGTTTATTCACTGCAGCCCTGCTAAAATATCCATGTTTACAGATAGTTCTTACTGACAGTCAGATGAGAAACAGTTAACCCTGTGTGTTTTTTATACATATTGCCCTATCGCACAAGCATCACAGTCATCAAATAGCTTTTATTGATGCATTTCCTATTAATTGAAATGCGGATGTTGCTTTAGTCCCTGTTCCTGTCAAAACACGAGATAGTCATCTGTGCCAGAGCAATAAAGTCTTTGTTTTTGTCACTTCAAGCTTTTTCCATTTGCTGTTTTGATGCTATAATCAGGATCAGCTGACCTTACTCTGCATTTCTTTCATACTGGCCACATATCTGGCGTGGATGGTGATTGCTTAATTGTACCAAACAGTGAATTGTACCAAAGTGGATTTGCAGTGTTACTCCAACTATCCTTAAATCTACTGTGAATCAGTGTGTTGTAAAAATAGTCCAGCAGGCTGATTTTTATAGCCAGTAAATGTAAAAACGATGCGGAAACTACAATGTGCAGAAGATGGACTACAAAATGCGCATCTTAATTCACCACAACTTGTTCTACCCCCATTGTTTTATGTGGGGCATTTAAATAAGAACCACGGCTCAAAGTTATGTCAAACCTCTCTGTCTAAAAACTCTTCACTTAGTCCTCCTGCTCAGTGTTTAGAGGCGAACCCCACTTAGTGCTCCTCAGTAACACAGTAAAAATGAACTGAACCGTCACTTATCCCTTGTGATTATCCTAAAGGCTGCAATACAGCAAAGTGCATTACTAATTTAAACCAAATTATACGGAACCTTAAACAGACTTTGATCAGTTAACAGAGTTCATAATCTTTAAAGAGCAATTCTACATTCTTCATGCAGCAACAACCTAATGAGACGTGGTTTTCCTTCCAGTGTTGTGATGTTCAGAGATCAGTCTTGCAGGTTATAAGCAGGTTATAAGCAGGTTATGAGAAGGAAAATGCTGTTTACAGTTCCATGAGTTGTTCCACTTTGTTTATGCTTTAGATTCTTTTTCTCGAGTTTTCGAATGGTCAGTAAAGATAAAGCGGTTTAGTTGGCTGTGCTAGGAATTTAGCTGAAGAACTTACATGCTTGCAAGAGAAAAAAACGGGGGTTGAATCAGAATAATACAAAGCGACCAGTGACCTGTCGCCGGTGTCATCATTTCAGTTTGCTGCCTCTTTCTATTGTCAGATTGTGAGAGGGGAAAAAAGAGAATTCTGGGACTGCATGGCACTTCTTTCCTTAGTATTTAGTAATAATAATAATAATAATAATGGATTGGATTTATATAGCGCTTTTCTAGGCACCCAAAGCGCTTTACAATACCACTATTCATTCACTCTCACATTCATACACTGGTGGAGGCAGCTACAGTTGTAGCCACAGCTGCCCTGGGGCAGACTGACAGAAGAGAGGCTGCCATATCGCGCCAGTGAGTTGGATCAGTCACTTCTTGGTCGCTTATCTCACTTAGGAGTCTTCCTAAGCAAAACAGACTACTGGAACACACCCAAAGACTGTATGCACTCCAGGGAGATGAATCATATGGCATACGTGAACTTGATCAGAGAACAAGAGTGAGAAACAAAGGCGCAAATTGAAAAGTCAAAAATCTCCATAAAGATGTAACTGCAAAATAAAAACTAAAATAAGAAGTAACTGAAGGGGCAAACAACAGCTTAGACAAAAAGGAAAAACAGGAACGCACACTAAGGGGAAAAACACTAATGAACAGAACAAGCTAAACTCTCTGTGAGGCTTTGCTGCTCATTACTTAGAAAACCAAGTGAACCAGCTTTGATTTGGGTTTGTTTTACACTATGTAACTTATTTTGGCATCATCCTGTAGGAACTTCAAAGACTAACAGCAGTGGGAATTATCTCATTTTCCCATGAACAAAAAATAATACATTCAAAGGTATCAAAGGAATGACATTTCCCTTCAATCAGAAGCGTTTCTTTCTTTCTTTGCTCCTACATTCTCAGGTTTGTCAATGTCCTCGTGTACTATGGCCTGTCCCTCAACATTTCTGACTTTGGAATGAATATATACCTGACTCAGATGATTTTTGGTCTGGTTGAGATGCCTGCGCGCACAATCACCCTGTTCACCCTGAACCGCTCCCGTAAGATCTCCCAGCTAGCTTTCTTAGCAGTTGGAGGCACTGCCTGTCTGCTCACCATCTTCATCCCCGATGGTATGAACACACGCTCAGGACAGCTTAGCTGGACTGTGCATGATTAACTCTTTGCCCTACTTGTTCTAAAAATGTAGTTTACAGCTTTTCTCGCCATCCTTTTATCTTCTTTTAGATTTGTCTGTCGTCAGAACGGTCTTGGCCATGATTGGAAAGTTTGGAATCACAGCCTCTCTGTCTATTATTTATGTGTATTCTGCTGAGGTGTTCCCCACTGTTATAAGGTGAGTGTTACCCTCCAAATACCCGGGAGTCTTACAACACAAAGAGTTCCTTCACTATCTAAAGCTAAACATGTTCTGGCTAGCAATTTCACTTAAACAGGCTGTGTTATTATCAGAACTGTGGAGTCTTCTAAAGGCAGCTGCTAATGGTGCCACAAAAGCAGTTTGACGAGGCAGTCAGTGATTGTTACCTATTTTTATGGAAACACAAAACATTTTGGCAAGTTGTTTCTGGAATAATTTTCCAAGATTTTGATTGTATTACCTGTATTACCATGGTACGGTAAGAAAAAACATCAACATGTGTATCTGAAGATATATATAATATAATCCATATTACGGTATAATAAATAAATTAAATCAAATATATATTATAAAATATAACACACACATATACATACATGCATATACATGTATATATATATATATTCAAAGAAATCGGAACATGACTTTTGGTGTTTCTTTGTTAGCTCATCCAAAAATCCAGTTATTCGGCCCATGAAGAGTTCTTTCATTAACTACATCACTATATCAAAGCCTGGGCAAAAGGCTTATCAGGCTTATAGAAAAGCTTCATTAGCCCAAATACTTACCAACAGGTTTTAGATGTATGGCACACCGGATTACTGGTCGAACTGTCTGCAGAGCAGTTTTGAGACTTGTCCCATTATGATTAATGTTGAAATTGTTTACATTTATTTTTTTCGGAAGTGCTAGATTAAATTTAATACAGCAAGGTTTAGGAAAACTTAAAAAAAATAACTCATGATACTTAAAGTGTCTCACTCATCTGACTAACTAGTGTTAGTGTTAGAGTTGGTTTTGCTAACGAAGTTTAGAATGTGGTTAAAACGCTGCAACTTTCCTGTTAAAAGCTTTCCTTTACATCAGGCGTATCAAACATAAGCCCCGGACAGACTTCTATTTGGCTGACAGGATGCTGGAAGAGGAGGATGACAGGAAAAATGTGAAGGAGGACATAGATTATGGACTGCATTTGGGTTATGTTTGATAGCTTTTTTATTTGTGCTAACATATTTCTTTCAGCTATTATATCAGCATTTCTTTATAATGTAGAAAAACTGAGACATACTATTATTAAATAGGATTTAATGTATAGTTGAACATATTTACACTGGCAGGAAGAGACTTTAAGGCCAATAAAGAGTTTAACATCCCTACTTTAGATATATGAAAATCCCACAGGACTGAACCTTATTATAACCCAAAACCGACCTCCCTAACCCTATATAGCTGTCTGGTGATCTGGTGAGTTTAAGCACTTATAGATTTACCTTGTTGCCATAAATACCAACTGGAATTATTGAGATATCATTAAAATAATGTCTTTATGATTATTGCTGGCTGTATCTTAACCCTGAGAATGCTGTTGCCGTGTATTACAAACATGTGTTCATTCTAATGCATAAGCAAATCACTATATCTACATTAAATTGCAAGAATCCAGCTTTGTTCCATTTACTAAGATGGATTCATGCATGATTTACATTACATGTTTGTTATTAAGAGTGTTCACAGATAAGAAAGGTGGAATAGTGTAAGTGAAAATATAAGGTATACATTACTATCTATAAATACAGAGTGAAAGTGAGAGCAAGAAAGCAATAGCTGTAATGGAAATTAAGTGCAGAAACGACCCCCCCACAGAAAAGACAAATGCCATAAAGACATTGTCTGATAAGAAATCATTAACCAACAATGGCACTCAGAGAGTGCAAACCTCTGTCAAGGCAGCTCTCTCTTGGTACAGTACTTACTTTTAAGGGAAATGATTTCTGGATGCAAACTATAATGTAATATTTAGAATCCCCACACACTAGTATTTGTTTCCTAAATGTTACCAATACAAAAAAGGCAGGAGAATTTACATTTTTAAAGATAAAAGATATTTCATCAAAGTTTAACCTAATTTGACCTTGAAGAAGAGGTCAGAGGTCCAAAGTAATGCAATATTTAGTATATATCATCCCTTTATGCTTAACTGTTGTCAGTGCAAACAATGGTGGTATGAAGCATAGTTTTAAATAGCACTATTATCACTTTAAATTTCAGGTCACTCTATTGACCTTGAAGGATATGCTGACAATACATACATACATACCGTACATAGTTTCTAAGGTATGAGTCCTTTTTTCTCTCCAATAAATCATCATGTTGACCTTGAAGACGTCAGTGGATGTAAACCACATCTTGATGGATTATTCACATGACCCAACTCCACACACCCAATAGATTCCATCAGAATTTATTCAAAGCTTTATGGCATGTAGACAGAGATCACATTGATATCCATAATAAGCACCTGTAACCGGGCCCTTTGTATTCATTGTATTTTTCAGACAAAATGGGATTGGTATAGGCTCTATGTGTGCTCGCACTGGTGGCGTCCTGGCTCCCATGATGTACCTTCTGAGGGGGGTCAGTCCTCACGCTCCCATGGTTCTGTGTGGCCTCTGCCCCCTGCTGGGTTCAGCCCTCACAATGCTACTTCCTGAGACGGCCAACAGGCCGCTGCCTGATAGCATTGAAGACGTTGAGGGATCCAATCACAGGTTTGACTTAACTGTTGACTTAACCTGAGCAAGATCATCATAGGTGCTGATCCTAACCCTATATTTTGAAGAAAGGCAAAATGTTCATTTTTAAATAATGAAAATTATTGCTGATCTGTGTCACTTTGATTGCCAAAGCTTAGGGGAAGAGTTTGATGAGAAAATGTATATTCACATAGACTAGGGGTAAGGTTAGGATCATCTCTGAAGCCAGTAACACAAGCAAAATGAAAGAGAACTGAGAATTGATTGGTCTCAGACAATTTCATCTTGCTTTTGGTTAGAGATGCAAAATAAGAGTGCAATGTAAGTAAATGTAATCAAATACTTGCTGCACCAAGGAGGCTACAGTGTTGCCTGGAGGCACATCAAGAAGCAGCACTTGCATCTTTTTTGTGAGC